CCTCCCGAGTTCTTCCTTCCTTCCCTACTTCTCTGCAGATGCCCCTGGCCTGGCCCTCCCTTTCCAGTGCACCTCGAGGCCCTGGCCTCTGACCTTCTCTCTCACTGATGTCCTGCAAATGCCCGATTTCACCCTGTGCCTCGCTTCTGCCGTGTCCGGCCCAGCTCAGCGAGGCCCAGGTGGCCCGGCTCTGCACAGCCCCCAGTACATGGGTGGGGGGGGGAGGATTTCTGCCCCTTGTTTGCGGCTCGTGGCTGCCCTTTCCAGCCTTTGTTCTTGTTTGAACCTGGGTCTCAAATTTGGTGAGAAAACAAGGAGGGGAGATGGCCCACGAGAGAAAGTGAAACAATGAGAGGGGCCCTGAGTTCAAAGTCAGCCTGCCAACTTAATTTTGGGCCCTGTCCTGCAACTATCAAAGCTCATAACAACCCGAATCCTCCTACATTGATGCAAGAAACTGAAGTTATAGCTTAAGCCTTCCCATAAAGAAAATGCTAACGTTTAGGAAAAAAACAGCAGAAATTCTCTGTGGCCCTCAGAGTTCTTGAACTCAATGCCAGATGTTTGTTTGATCAATAAAAGAAACGGATAGATTGGATCAACCAAGAAGTGTTAAAAGGACAAGGTTTGCTCTGAGAAGCACACTGTTAACAGTGGAAAGAGAAGCCACAGAGCACTGGCCAATCACAGATCTGACAAAGGATTTGTATCCAGTATATATAAAGAGCTCTCAAAAATCAATAAGAAAATGAATAGCTTAAGAAAACCACAGGCAAATGATCTGAACACACGCTTCACTGAAGGAGGCACACAGATGGCGATTAAGCCCATGAAAAGGCCCTCAACATTTCCGATGAGTCAGGAGAAATGCAAACCAGAACGGTCATGACCTTAACATTCCTACGGAGATGGCGACCAGGGGAGAAATCCCAGCTTCTCATTCATTGCTGGACGTATGCAAGATGGTGCAGCTTCTTCGGACGACAGTTTCTCAGCTTCTTATGAAGTCGAACATACACCTGCCACGTGGACCAGGGACCCCTCCTGTTTACCCAAGAGAACTGAAGACTTACATTTCAGAGAAAGCAGTTATGCAAATGTGTGTAGCAGCTGTATTCACAATTGTCAAAAACTGGCAACAACCCACAGGTTCTGTAGCGGGTGAGAGAGCCACCAGCCACGGGGTCATCCAGGCCACGGAGCACCACTCGGCAGCACAAAGGGAACAGACTGTCGGCACAGGCAGCCACACGGCTGAATCTTACGTTCCGTGAGGGATGCCAGCCGGACAAGCAGACGTACCACGTGATTCTGTTTGGACGACTTTCTGGACAAGGCAGAGCTCAGGGGACAGAGAGGGGTCCCGTGGTTGGCGGGGTGGAGGGCACGACTCCAGAGGGACAACGGGGGGGGGGGATTTCGGGGGCAATAGAACTGTCCCGTGTCTTGATTGTGGAGGTATTTCCATGACTCTGTGCATTTTATTGTATGTAAATTTAAAAATGAATTTTAAAACATAGAGAGGATTTGAAGTGTTGTTCTTGTCTGGGCAGCAGTTGAAACAGTGCTGCTGGTCGAGACTCGGCTGGGTTAAAGTAGTGACCTCTTTAATTAAAAAAATGTTAATGTTTATTTTGGAGAGAGACAAAGCATGAGCAGCGAGAGGCAGAGAGAGGGAGACACAAAATCTGAAGCAGGCTGCAGGCTCCGGGCTGTCAGCACAGAGCCCGACGCAGGGCTTGAACTCACAAACCGCGAGATCATGACTTGAGCCGAAGTAGGATGCTCAACCAACTGAGCCCTCTGGGCGCCCCTGGCTGTCCTCAATCATGGTGTCATCATGATTCTCGAGGACAAAGACTCACAATCATGCTCACAGACCCCCTGCACAGCATTGCAAGTCTCCCGAGCTGGGACACAGTCGGGAGGTGGGGGCTGGGAACCATGTGAAGAGGTTAGCAGGGCCTCCTTCACACCTTCCTCCAGCTGAGGCCCGGATGTGAGGACAGCCCTGCCTGCCTCATGCACCCTCAGTGCAGAACCCCTCCCGGCCCTCACACAGGTCAGGGCAGGACGGGAACTGGGCCATCACAGCCGCAGCGCGGGCGCCAACCCCCGTCCCCCTGGGCTCCCACCTCTCTGGGGTCTCAGAGGTGGTGCACCCACAGTTGTGGGGTCAGAATGTGGCAAGTTGTGTCTATCACGGGGTAACTAGTGGGCCGACGGCTTGGGGATGCCAGCCTGGGGGAGCGGGAAAGGCCGGGCTCCGGGCTCCGTCCTCCATTCTGCTCCGCTCGCTCTGTGTCAGGGTGAGCGTGGGTGCGCATGTTGAGGACGTGATGTTCCTTAGTGTTTGTGGCTGGAGAGAGACCTGATCTCAGCAGATTGGACTGATGGGCCAAAGTGAATAGGGAGCAATCAACAGGGATAAGGGCCAGTTCTTGCCCATAGGCCTTCAAATCCAACAACATGCTTGCAGAATGAACTGGACTGAGTTTAACCGAGCAACTGAAAAAGATCTAGGGCCTAAACTCAGAAGGTCCATATGAAGCCAGGGATGTGATGTGGGCCCAAAAAAGCTGGTGCTATCAGGTTGCATTAACAGAGACATAGGTTGCAGAACAGAGGAGGTGATAATGTTTACTCTGTGCTAAGCTGAATCCATCTGGAGTGTGGTGTTTATGTTTATAATCTGTAGCATCAGCAGAGGGCGATCAGTATAGGAGGCAGCTTACTGCCAGTTTATAGAAAGGTTGGCGACATTCAGCTTGAAGGACACAGATTTGCTGGGCTCAGGACGGCTGACAGTACTTCGGGGGGAAAACTGATTTGCCCCGTGCTATGTGCTTCCAAAGCAGAGCTGCATGACAGAACTTTCCGTGACGATGAGACTATTTTATATCTGTGCCATTCAGTAGCTGCCGGATAGATGTAGTTTTTGAGCGATTAAAATGTGGAACTGAATTTTTAATTTAATTTTAACTAATTAGGGGCACCTGGGGGGCTCAGGTCATGATTTTGTGGTTTGTGGGTTTGAGCCCCGAGTAGGGCTCTGTACTGACAGCTCAGAGCCTGGAGCCTGCTTGGGATTCTGTGTCCCCCTCTCTCTCTGCACCTTCCCTGCTCATGCTCCCTCTCTCCCAAAAAGAAATAAACATTAAGTACACAATAGAATAATTTTAACTAATAAAATTAAAAATTTAAAGTGGCTAAATGCAGTGGCCTTGTTGGACAGCGAAGCTGTAGAAGGAAAAGAGTAGACCAGGGCTGGCAAATCTTTCTTCCTGTAATGGGCCAGGCTGCCTGTTTTGGGCGTTGCTGGGTGTGTGATGTCAGTCGGCCATTGTAGCGTGAAGCACACTTGATATGGGAAAGAATGAACATGTCTGTGTTCTAATAAAACTTTACGAGAACCGAAATTTGAATATAATTTTTACATGTCACAAGATCTTCTTTTGATTTTTGTCGACTATTTTAAAGGTGTAAACACTGTTCCCAGATAACAAGTTGTACATAAATGGGCGGCAGGCTGGACTCAGCCTGTGCAGCTTGCCGACTCCGCCCCGAACGTGGGCAGGCACCTTGGGGAGTCGTGTGTAAGTCCCAGAGAGGGAGACAGTACTAATTGGAGGGATCTGGGAACGGCCCAAGTGCCCCCGGTAAGAGGGGAGTTCTTGTCACTAAGGGGCTCAGAAACAGGCTGGACAATTCACTGGCTGGCGAAGGATGACATAGAGATGTGTCTGCTCAGTACAGGTCCTACTAGAATCCCCCCTGGATTCCGCAGGAGTTTTGGAGTCAGGATGGCACGTGGCTGCTTTACAGCCATACCTGTTTTGTGCGGGGAAGTGAGTGGCTCGCCCGACTTGGTACTTGCTCTGGGCCCCATGTGGCCGGGATGGGACACTGTGGGGTGGCTGCAGCTTTGTGCTTCCGCCGAGCGTCAGGGCACCCGGGATGCGCTGTCACAGGGGGCTGGTTATGCCATTTATGTGCCACTCGGGAGAGAGGTTCCAGAGAGCACTTCAGGCCTCCATTGGCCAAGGACATTGTCCTGTCATTGAGTCCCCTTCTGGGGACAAGGGAGCTGGGGTGAGGGAGCGGCCCCTCTAGCTGGCCCTTTCCGTGGACGTGCCTGGAGAAAGGGAGGGTAGCCGGTGCTCTCTGTGAGCTCCACATCTCGGTCCACGTCCAGCGGCCCCATCCGTGAGGACACGACTGCTGGGGAGCGGATTGTCAGGTTCTCTCTGTGACCTCAGCGCGCTTCCTTGGCTCTTTTCCCTTCGTCCTGATTTCTGTCCGTCTCACTTCCAGTCAGCATCTCTGCCAAAATCAACAAAAAGAGAAAATAAACGGCTTCTGACTGTGAAGAGAGAAGGGGAAAGTGCCAGTCTGGAGTTTCAAACTTTTTGTCCTTTCTCCTCCCCGCCCCTGTAGTAGAGTTTTTTCCATGTCTTTGTAGAGCACAGGCTGCTCCTGAGGCCTTATTTGGGGATTAAGAACAGCTGCGATCTGTGTATTCGGTGGACCATGTCGTGTGAGTGCGAGCGTGCAGGGTAGTGATTTGTACTTTAACGTTGGGACGCGGTTGCCCGGTACGGCGTTAGCGGCCACCCTGTCTGTCAGAGGCATCGTCTCTTCTTGTGTCGCGAATGGTGGAGGGCTCGTTTCGTAGCGAGTTTAGCGCTGGGAGGACAGCTTCGTCGTCTGCCCTCGCCAGGCTGGTACTGCGTCTGCGGGACTGTCTGCCGTCCCAGGTACGAGCCCTTACGCGGTACCTGGCCCGTTCCCTGTCTCCGGGACTGTTAAGCGGACCCGGGATGACAGGAGTACAGTTGGCCCCCGGTGTCCGTCGCCAGCCCTGACAGCGACGACTCCGGCCAGCCTCCTGTCCCTGGCCTCCCTGTCTCTATCATTTGCAGCAAATCCACAGGGAGCTTGTGAGGTGCTGCATTAACTCAGCTTTGCACTAACATCTTGACTCTGTGTATTCGTTTCAGATAATTGCCTTCGATGAATTAAGGACAGATTTTAAGAGCCCCATAGACCAGTGCAACCCTGTTCACGCGGTAAGTGGTGGGAGCTGGTGGTGGCCAGGGTGGAGGAGGGCAGGGTGGAGGGGGGCAGGGTGGAGGGGGGCAGGGTGGTGGGGGGCAGGGTGGAGGCAGGCAGGGTGGTGGTGTGGAGCAGGGTGGAGGGGGGCCTGTGGAGGAGGGAGGTTCTGATGGGGGTGGGGCGGGTGAAGGACACTCCGGGCCCCGAGTGCCTGGCTCCGGGCTGTGGAGGACTCGTCTGGTTCTGAGGTGGGACGTCTGGACTTAGCTCTCAGGTCACGTGTGAGGAACCCAGTCACCAGGCGGGAGGGGCTGTGGTGCTGAGGCCTCTGTGGCTGCTTTGTGGTCGTTTGTCCCTGAACCAGCGTGTCGGCAGGCATCTCAGCAGGATGGGTGCAGGGTGGGCTGTACGGGGCCCCTGCCCCATGTCCACCACCTGGGAGACGCTCAGCCAGAGAGAGGCCGGCTTGCCTCCTGCTAGGGAACCAGAGAGAGAGAGAGACAGAGCATGAGTAGGGGAGGGTCAGAGAGAGAGAGAGACACAGAATCTGAAACAGGCTCCAGGCTGTCGGCCCAGAGCCCGATGGGGGGCTTGAACACACGAACTGAGAGATCATATCTGAGCTGAAGTCAGGAGTCAGACGCTCAACCCCCTGACTGCCCCCCCCCGCCCCCCTGCCCCCTGGTCATATATTTAGTTAGAGGCTGTAGCCTGAACAGCAGGATTTACTAGTGTGAGGCCATCTTAACCTGGAAGGCTCAGGGCTCACTGTTCACAAACAGGGCTCTGGGGACACAAACAGGGCTCTGTTCTTCCTGGAGGAACCACAAGACGTGGGAACCAGGCTTCAGAGTTGCCTCCGTGAAGTGCAGGGTTTTGCCGGAATTACAAGGATTTTCCCGCCTTTGCCGCGTGCAGGAGAACTGTGATCGCCATGCTGGCACGCTCACCGCGTACGGACCACTGCACGAGGGTCCACGCTCAGGCGGCGAGGCCAGGATTCGAGGCCTGCCGCCTGTGTTCCTACCTCCTCCTCTGCGCGGGCTCTTGCGGAGATCTGATTTTCGTAAGCGTGATTTTAGAATCCCTTTGGCATCTGACGCTCTGGTTCCGCAGAGCAGAGCCAGAGCCTTCCGCAGTCAGCTGTGGGAGGTGGAATTTGGTAGCAAGTTGGAAGAATCCCTGAGATGCACTTGAAAACTCCCTCATCTTGTGAAACTTGTGTTAAAATCCCTCCTGTTTCCTTCTGCCGCCGTCCCTATCCCCCTGTGCTCACCTGGCCTGAAAGGGTTGCGCCCTCCCCCTGACCTCACTTCTTTCCGGACATTTCGTGTTTGGCAGCGGCTTGTCTGCACCCGCCAGGGGCACAGAGCTGCTCAGTTCGAGAGGGAGGTCGCCAGCCCACGCTCTGTCCTCCTGGCTGTCCGGGCTCAAATCAGGACACAGCTCACTTAGAACACCCGGGGCTTTCAGGAAGGACCCCGGGGGGCACACGAGTACAGACATGTGTCCTTCACTCGGCTCCGTCCAGCAAGTCCACCCCACAGACCGCGTCATGGAGCCAGCACGTCCCTCAGTTCAGACGGGACGAAGAAAATAGGACCCACACGGGGGCCGTGGCTGCCTCTGTGGAGGGTCAGAACAAGAACGGGGCCTGCCTACAGCAGGGGCTCAGCTATTGTTGATGAAAGTGACTCTTGCAGGGTGAGGTGAGCCTCTCTTCCTGTCCTTAGAGCCACACTTCGAACCACGTCATGGCGTATTTAGGGAGCCTGGGCCCTGCCGGCCAGACTCGGTGACTGAAGCCCCCAGGAAAGGAGTCTTGTCTGGAATTTTGAAGGTTTATTTTTTTATTTTGAGAAAGAGCAAGGAAGCATGGGAGGGACAGCGGGGGAGGGGCAGAGAGAGAGGGAGACACAGAATCTGAAGCAGCTCCAGGCTCTGAGCTGTCAGCACAGAGCCCGATGTGGGGCTCGAACTCACGAACTGTGAGACCATGACCTGAGCCAAAACCAAGAGTCAGATGCTTAGCCAACTGAGCCACCCAGGCACCCCTCTTGCCTGGGTTTTTAAAAAAAAAAATCTATTAAAACCCCACATTGAAGAGTATTAGGCACATTTTCTTGGTTCTTAGGATTTACTCTGTGGCGGGAAGTTGAGCGATTTAGGTGCCTCACTAACTCCTGGTGGAGCGACCTCAGCCTCCGTAGAGGCGTCGACCCCCTTCCAGGAGGCGGAGAGGAGGAGGGAGCCCCGTGTTACTCCAGCTTCTCATTTAGTCCTTCCCTTCCTTTACGGGTGGGGCCTTCGGTGTCGCCGCAGAGCGAGGGAGCCGTTGTCCCCAGAGGCCCAGCTGGTGTGTCCCGTAGCACCCTTTCTGTGCCTGGTTCTGCGCACCTCTGCTTATTCTCCACGTGGGCAGCCTCGTGGGCTGTGTGGGCACCGGCTTGTGTGGACACTCGCGCGTGGTGTGCCTTCCCCGCCACGAGTCCTGATGCGGGCTCTTTCCTCTGGGCTTCAAGGGGGCCCAGGAAGCACCGTATGAGTCAGTTAGGGGAGTGGAAGTGCCCCAGCCACTGTCTCCTCCACATCCGTGAGGAATCTCATCACCGTCACATCCACAGCCACCAAATTGCCTCGGTAACGGAGCGCTGACGGATGCCGCAGTCGTGCTCACAGTGGCTTCGGAAAACAAGAAAGCCTTTGCGGAAAGGGGAGGCAGCACGCGGTGTGTGACGTGATCGTCACCACCTGCCTGGCCGCTAGGCGCCTGTCCCCAGCGGTGAGCCAGCCTCCAGGGAGGGGCCTCGACTTTGCAAAAGTCTTAGCCTGGGGGCATAGTGGGATGATTACTTCCCCTAAATACACTCACTTCAGAAAAGTAAAACCAACCAGGGACGCCTGGGTGGCTTAGTCGGTTAAGCGTCCGACTTTCGCTTAAGTCATGATCTCGCGGTTCATGGGTTCGAGACCCGCTTTGGGCTCTGTGCTGACTGCCAGCTCAGAGCCTGGAGCTTGCTTTGGATTCTGTGTCTCCCTCTCTCTCTGACTCTCCCCTGCTTACGCGCTCTCTCTCTCTCTCCTAGAAATAGATAAAACATTAAAAAAAAAAAAAAAGAAAGAAAAGTAAAACCAAAGGGCAGGGACCTGCCCCTGCCCTATCTCAGACACAAGTCAGGACACACGTGCTCCAGGTACCCAAGTGGGCGCTTCTCCCTGGAGGGCTGACTGTGGGCGCCAGGACGTCCCTGGTGCTTGTCCGGTAGCCACCAAGTGTGTGCTTCTTCACCCCTCCCCCACTCCATCTCTGATGACCACACCCCTGATCTCCTTTTCTGTGAGTTTGCTTTGTTGGTGTTGTGTTTTTAGATTCCATAAATTTAAGTGACCTCGTATGCTATTTGTCTTTCTCTGTATGGCTTATTTCACTTGGCATAATGCCCTCTGATTCGTCCGTGTTGTTGCAAACCACAGGGCTTCATTCCTTTTTATGGTTGAGTAAATTCCAGTGTGTGTGTGAGATACTATATAATAGTATACTACATATACGTTGTGTACGTATATGTACGTGAGTGTGTCATACTACATAATAGTATATTATATGTATGCCGTGTATGTATACGTGTGTGCGTGTATCATACTATGTAATAGTATACTATATGTATGCCGTGTATGTATACATGTGTGTGTATCACACTATATAATAGTATACTATATGTATGCCGTGTATGTATACGTGTGTGTATCATACTATATAATAGTATACTATATATATGCCGTGTATGTATACGTGTGTGCGTGTATCATACTATATAATAGAATACTATATGCTATGTATGTATGTGTGTCATACTATATAATCGTATACTACATGTATGCTGTGTATGCATATGTGTATCATACTATGTAATAGCATACCATGTATATGTTGTGTATATATATGTGTGTGCATCATACTATATAATAGTGTAATATACATATGCTGTGTATGTATATGTGTGTGTGCGTGTGCGTATACACCACATTTTCTTCTTCCATTCATCCATCCACGGACACTTAGGTAGCTTCTGTGCCATGATTATTGTAAATAATGCTGCAGTGAGCACAGAAGTGCAGGTATATTTCCAGGTAGTGATTTCATTTCCTCCAGGCAGATGTTCAGAAGTAGAATTACTGGGTCATAGGGTAAGTTCTATTTTTAACTTTCTGAGTAAGCTCCACACTGTTTCCCCCCAGCGGCCGCAGCAGTCTGCTTTCCCACCACCAGTGCAGAGGGTCCCCCTTCCTCTGCATCCTCACCAACACCTGTTGTTTCCTGTGCTGCTGATCTTGGCCATCCCGACAGGTGTGAGGTATACATCGCTGTGGTTTAGATTTGCATTTCCCTCGTGATCAGTGATGAGCACCTTTTCATCTGCCCACTGGCTGTCTGTATGTCGTCTTTGGGAAAGTATCCATTCAGGTCCTCTGCCCATTTACAGTTGGATTATTAGGTTTTTACTAGTGAGTTCTATGAGCAGGAATTATTCTTAGGAGGCGCTGGGTGCGAGTACGCAGGCCACGCAGCCAGGAGGGGTCTCTGGTGGCTTCTGCGTCCTCTACGGGGGGCTGAATGTGGGGGCTTCTCACGTTCTTCCAGCAGAACTTCTAACCTCCTAACTTCCCCTCTTTTCCTTTCTTGTGCGCCCCAAGAGGGAACGGCTGAGGAACATCGAGCGCATCTGCCTTCTCCTGAGAAAGGTCAGTGCAGGAACGCCACATCGCCACACTGAGGGACAGACCAGGGACAACTAGCTGGTGCCTGGTCTAGCCCCACCTCCCCAGCACGGCACCCAGTGGGGGTGGGAGCGGGGGAGGTGGGAGCGAGAGAGTGAGCCCTTGGCTGGAAACCTCCAGAGATAAAAGGAGCTGATTAGAATGGGTGGCCATCCATCAAAGTGGCAGCACCGGGTATTTGCAGGTGCCTCTGGTTGGATCAGGAGGTCCTCTGTCTTTGCGGGACAATGGATGGCGTTTGCACCTGAAGGTGCCCCCGCCGCCTTTGTTCCTGTCTGGTGCTGGGCTCTGGAGCACTCCTGCCCGACTCAGGGGAGTGTAACTGTTTAACTAGCTGCTGGCTTTCCTTTGAGGTTCCAGCTGCCGCTCAGCTTTGCAGATTGATCGAGAGCATCACGGGGAGAGTGTCGGGGCCGGGACAAGAGTGTGACGAAAGGGGCAGCTGGGCGTTCGGAGAGTTGCTCTGAATGGGTGGGCAGAGGTCACAGCTGCCTGAGCGCACCGGGAAGCACGCGTGTGCATGCACATTCACGGTGCGCGTGCAGCTGAAACTGTGACATAGCTGGGGAAGCCCAATGGCGGAGGGACTGTCACTTTTTGCAGCAAAGTGTAGAGGGCAGCAACTTGCAGGTAGAGTCAGTGGTGCCCGTGGCCGTGAGTCAGAGGACGTCCCCATCTCTGTCCGTCTAGAGCAGATGGGCCACAGGACATTGGAGAGCCGCCTGTCAACCCAAAAGGAGATTTTGAGCCTCCTGTGAATAGGAGAGAAACAAACACCATGCCAGCATCGACAGAAGGGAAATCGTTGTGCAAGCCTTTGAAATTTTTCTAGATTTCAGTAATGATGCCTTCCATTGGAAGAGCGAGCTTAATCAAGAAGTTAATTCTTTTTCCTGCGAATTACTTGCCCGGCGATGTTTTCTTAGACACTCAGTGTGTTAGAGTTTCACGTCTTGGAGGCGGCAGCAGGGAAGTATGGTCACGTGGCGAGAAGCAGATGGAAACACGAGGAATTCCAGAGTAAAGGGCGATTTAAGAAAACAGCACGTGGCGTTTGATATTAAGGGCAGTTTATGAATCTATAAATTATTTTCCCAGGTAGTAACCTGGACACCAGTGATGCCTTCAGCTGTGACTTGCAGTCTCTGGCTGGTGCTTTATGATGGACAGCTAAGTGTCTATCACATCCCTTCTCCCCCCACGCCCTGACACTCAGGCAGGGTGGTAATCCACATCCCCCATGTCAGGTTTGCGCACCCCTCTGAACTGCTTGACCACTAACAGTGGACAGTGGACGGTGTGGGGGGGGCCTCTGCCAGGGTCCTGCCTTACAGCCCGAAGGTCAAAGCCAAGGGTGTGAAATAACAGGGGCTGTGCAAGAATTAGCATTGCCACTTACAAATTTACATAGTTTGCATGCATTTCTATAAACGGTAAATGAGTCTCCAGGAAACATTCTCCAAGGGACTTTTTCTGTTTCTGGTCCTTTCCATGGACGCTGCTCCCCCCCCCCCCCCCCCCCCCCCCCCCCCCCCNTTCTATAAACGGTAAATGAGTCTCCAGGAAACATTCTCCAAGGGACTTTTTCTGTTTCTGGTCCTTTCCATGGACGCTGCTCCCCCCCCCCCCCCGCCCAACCTCACCTGACTGCAGCCTCTGCTGCCCTGTGAAGGTAGACCCTATTCAGCCTTAGCAGGAGATGCCAGGGAAGAAAGTTCCATTAGGCTGAGGAGGACAGGGCACACTGACTTCAAGTGTTCAGGTGTCACAGCCGTGCCCGGTCACTCGCCCTGTGGCCCAACTGGCCTCGGCTCTGCCACCTGCTGCACGAGGACCTAGTCTGAGACGTGTCTCTCTTACTACACTTTGTATTTTCATGTCACACGTAACTGTCGTGCTCGCCATCCACACAGTAAGTCCCTAACCGATAGCTCCCTGTGCCTTCATGTGCCTCTGTGCCCAGCACCTCCTTGGGGTCTGTATTGTCACCCGACCCATATCTGCTCTGTTCTGTTCCCTTCCACGGGAGAGGCGGTGACGTCCGCAGGCTTCTGCTGCCCTCGGTGCGACTCTGACTCCGTGTGAAGTGAGCACACGGCCCCCTCGCGCAGCTGCTGGGGAATTAACTGGGAGAAGATGGGTGTGCGAGCTCAGAAGGGCTCCTGCCTTACTGCTGTCCCCTGACCCTCGGTGGCTGCGAGATCTCCCGAACGCCTGCAGTGCGAGGCGGGGGCAGGTGCAGTGGCCTCCGGCTCTTGTCGTCCTGCTGGAGTCTGAGCTGGTGCCCGGCACGGGGGGGGGGGGGGGGCGCGGGTCTAGTTAGCGCCACCACCTTCTGAGAGCTGTACCTTCCAAGAAATTCCTTGGACTTGCCTCCTGACACCCATAATGGGACGCATCTCAGCAGCGGCTGCTGTTAAACCTCCCCCTCAGCTTTCGCGGGAGGAAGAAAGGGATTTTCAACGTGGATCCGTTTCAAGCTCCGTAATTATCAGAAAATGTGTTCTCTGGGTAATTGTCTGAACTGCGGGGTTCTCCTGTCGACGTGTGCAGATGACTCACTCTCCAGGGCGAGAGGCACTCGGAGCGCCGCCCTCCCGCCGGAGCAGGACGCGCTCCTCTCCGTGGCTCCTGGAGAAGGGCAGGGGAGCTCTGGCCACGTCTCCAAGTTCAGGAAAGGAAGTTCGGTGAGAGCCCGAGGTCAGCGTGAGCACGGGGAGGAGCGTTCCTGCGAGCCGTGGCCATCACACCTGGATTTGGTTGTCCCGGGACCCGGGACACTGCACCTCCCTTGGGCCGAGTCAGATGAGTGTCTGTGACGGCCTCGTGTTCGCCTGAGCCTGCAGGCACAGCAGGTCTCGGGGCGCTGTGTGGCCTGCCAGATCTGCGTTCTCCATGTCCCCCCCGACCTCTGCAAGCCTGTGTCCAGTCTCTCCGCAGGTTTTCTGACCTCTGTGGCTGCAAAAAGCCGATGGGTAGATAATTTTCCCTCCTTGAATCCCTCCTCCCCCATCCAGCTCCCTCCCCCCATCGAGCTCCTTTCCCCCACCCAACTCCTCCCCCATCCAGCTCCCTCCCTCCATCCAGCACCTTGGAAGAGGAGGACAAGTGGGGGTTGGGTGGTGGGTGTTGAGTCCCCTGGGGTGGTGTGGTGGTGTAACCAGGTGGGAGGCTGCAGGTGCACCTGGTTTTAATCTGGAAAGAAAGGGGTGGTGGTAAAGCCGCAGGAATTACCACTAATGACCACCTGTGCCCCCCCCTTACCGGAGCCACACCTGTGTCGGGGGAGGGGTCACAATGGGAAGCACAGCTGAATGCTGTGAAACCGGCATCCGCGGCAGAGGCCCCAGAGGCCCCAGGATGTGGTCCCACGTGCGGAGCTGGTCAAGTAGGAAGATCACACTGTTGATCCTAGTCCTTACTCTTCCCTGTATCTGTGGGGCGGCGTCTGGAAGCCAGCCCTGGCTGCTTCCGTGACCTTGCCGTGTGACTGTGCGGGGCCCTCCTCCCGCTAGATCCGGTGACCTCCAGTCAACCTTCGGCTGTTTGAGCAAGTTTAAGTGATTGCTGTTGACGGCGCTGAAGCTTGGAATGATTTGTTATGCAGCATCATTAGGGCAATGACTAACCGATACTGCAAGCATGTGCTACTTATATAAGGGGAGAGTCTTTTTAAAAAGTGATTGTATTCTGTGCCACACATCAGCTGTTTGCTGACTCTACACATTTATAAATAGACCCGTTCAAACTCTGTCCCAATTTCTTTGACTTCAGAGGAGTCTGCTAAATGCATTAACGTCCCAGAGCCCAGAGAAAGACTCCGGTTGCTTTGGATCACCGTCTTTGTCCGGCATCAGCTACCTGGAGAAGTAGTGAGGACACTGCCTTTTCCGCAATTCCTGGTGCTTCCGCTGCAAGGCACTGACTGGATCTCCCGTCTTTTATCCGCTGGTGCTGTTCTTCCTCTGGGCTCTGGAGAGAATGTTGTGTTTTAACTGAGGGACATGATACAGCTGAAAAGGGACACGTAAATTCAGAGGCAATTGCGTGGAATCCCTTAGAGAGACCATCCTAGACTCAAGAATTTTCCAGAACAGAATTCTGTGTTGGCTGGCGGGTTTCTAAATGGTGCCGGGGACAGGAGCTGTGTTCGTTTCTACAGTGGTCACTTCCCGCCTTTAAATGAATTAGCTCTTTTATATATGTATTTCAATGTTTAGTCCTTTTTGAGAGACAGAGAGCAAGCAGGGCAGAGAGAGAGGGAGACAGAATCTGAAGCAGCTCCAGACTCCGAGCTGTCAGCACAAGACGCAGGGCTCCAACTCACCAGCCCTGAGATCATGACCTGAGCTGAAGTTGGACGCTCAACCGACTGAGCCCCCCAGGTGCCCCTAAAAGAATTAACCCTTAATCTTCGTAATGCCAGTATGAAGCACTCACGATTAACAGGTGAGGAAGTCAGTGCGCAGAGACGGAGGTTTACTGTTCTGGGGTCTCCTATTTCTCAAGTTGGTGGATCTGATCACAAAATAGGGGAAGTTGTTTTTCTCTGACCCCTGCTGCTTGCGGACCACCAGACGGCAATATTGCTCAGCTCTATGAAGGGAAGACATGGATCCCCAGAGCCGCAGGGACCCTGTAGTATGCTGGTCTCCCCACGATGGGGCTGAGTGGATTCCTTTAAGGCTCTTTTCCTTTTCTGCTTAACTCCTTGGTAGAATAGCTCCCCCCTCGAGGGACTGTTTGAAGAAAAGTAAAAATATCCTAGAACAACGCTCGCAACTAGTTCAGAAACTGTGTCTCATGTATAATGTATTTTCCATCACTTTCTGCGGCAAACTCCTCGTTAGAGAGAAGGACGGAACATTTTGCTCACCGTGTGACCCATGATGCTGTCCTGGAGTTGCTGAACCAGAGCCAGGGGGTGGGGACACGGGGGCTCTGTCCTCACCTCGCTTGCCCCC